GTAAAGAGTATTTATATCCTTTAAGTGAAATATATTCTCCTTAAAAAGGAAATATTATATAATTTTATTTTAGCTAATGTATGGGTTATTTTAGAAATGAAATTATAATGTTATAAGTTTGTTACGATCAATAATTAATATTTCTTTTATTATAACCATTACGTATTTCGTATACTTTATAAATGTGTATTTTCCAGAATGTTTGTTGTTGATAAACAGGATCCGGAACTTCCGGACATATTTGATGTTTACAATTAGTTGGAGAAGATGCTTGTAATGCATGATGTATTGGAGGATTTTATGACTATAAGAAAACAGGTAATTGCTTTGTCTTTCCTTTCATTTTATTCATTTACTTCTCTTAAATTAATTTTATAATCTCTACTCTTAATATTATGCGTGGTAAAGAAAATTTGCAAGAAATCCGTTAAATTTATGCTGAGAATGTTAAGTAGTAATGGAATTTTGAAGTTTCAGTTAGAGAAATTAAGCACTGAAAAAATGATACAGTAAATTTAGACATTTTTCAACATGAAAAACTGCTGTCAACCTCTTGGCCGAGGCAGAGAGGAGGTTAGCAGATTATGAAGGGAGAAATGTCAAGGAAAAAAATGGAGGAAAGGAGGATTACGGACAAGAAGAAAAAATGGAGGAGGGACCGGAGCCTCAGAAGCCGAAATTTAACATAGAGGAGGCAAAGTGGGCTCTTCTACCTGAAAGTGATGATGAAGCCAAGGATTGGCTAGCGGAAGTGGATGGGCTTCTCTATCAGATGATAGCGAAGAAAGCTCTGAAGTGCCGGTGGTACCAGTGGAAACAAATGGCATTGAGGAGCCGGAGGGAGATCGTCTTGTAAGCGTTACTTTAATGTATAGAAAAAAGATTAAATTAGGTATCGAATTTTAGTCATCACGGATAAATCTGGCCGAATTGAAATTTATTTTGGATTAATGTGGCTAAATTTAAATTTATTTCAAACGATCAAGAACGATCAGAGTCCCGATTCCAGCTACGCATATAACATTGGCTGCGGTGATGCCGGAACCATTTCACCTAAGACCTAAGAGACCTTCCAGAACTCAGACGAGAGTTAGAAGTACTGCAGACGAAGCCATATACGGTGGTTCGAGCGGGAAGAAAAATATTTTCTTCAGCATCGGTAATTTATCTGTGGTTTTGCGATAAAGTAGTCCATATTTTAGCTTGATTTCATTTTAACCAAAACAATCAACCAGAAAAGTGAGAAAACTTCCATGAACATTCTGCTCTGATAAATTGTCTCTACAAAAAAATATATTTCTGTTTTCAGTATACGATTCTGTGGTAAGCAGTTTGATATACTAAAAGGGTGACACATTTATGCTTCAAGGACACACAAGCATAACAATAAGTACTTTAAAACAGGATTTTGAATTTAAAAGCTAACTAGCATACTCATAATATATATTACAGATTTTTGCATTCGCATAGCCATTGCCTCCTGCTGCCACCTGGATTTACAGTTGGACTGCGAACAGTAGCGGTGGAACTTCATGTCCTCGATTGATGCCCAAGAACATGCGCGGCTGTAATCAATGAAAGAGAGATCAAACATCACAGACTGAATCTTGTGGGGAGAGATAAGAATGCCGGCCAGGTGAGAATTTTTTGAATTTTTGAATTCGTCAGGTGAATTTTGGAAACAAAAAAAAGAAAGATTCGAATAGCTATAGGAAATACGAGAATATGCGAAGTTAATCTTCCAGCTTTTCTAATCATTGAATTTTTTTTTTCAGGCCAGTAACACTACCTGGCACTCCACATGTGGCCAGCCTGTCACTGTCTGTTTCTGTTCTTTAATTTCCATCCAACGAAATCGGTCAAGCGGGTTAATGAATTTCAAAAAAAAAAAATAAAGGGCAAGAAAATTAAAAAATTGAAGAAAAAATAAGGAACTAAAAAGTGGAAAAAACAGTAAAAAACAAAAAAAAGTATGAAAATAAAAAAAATTTTTGAAAAAAAAAGACAAAAAAGGAAGAAAATAAAAAAATGAAAAGAAGAAAGAAAGAAAAATCACAGATAAATGAAGAGAAAAAAAGAAAAAAAATAAATGAGCAAAGAAAGGGAAAAATAAAAAAAACAAAAAAATAAGGACAAAAAAAAAAAGAAAGTGAAAGCAAACAATAAAAGAAACTTAAGAAAATAGAAAATGAAAAGGAAAAAAGTTTTATTTTTTGAAATAATTTTAAGTATAAAAGCAATTTTATTCAAAATATGTATGAATAAAAAATTAGAAAAATTTATGGATTTTTGGACAATCTATTTGCACTAATATATGCTAAACTTATGCGACAAATTTTTTGCTATGCGTTAAATTTAGTTGTTTGTTTGACTTTACAATTTTATTTGATTCTATTTTGATAAATAGCATTTGATGAATGTTTGTCTTTTCAAAATGGTTTATTTCTTTAATTAATTTTTCAACAACAACTAATACTTTCTTGCTTAGAAGTTCATTTTCCCTTTTTTTTTATTAAATTATTTTCTTTTTTTTATTCCTTAATGTGTTTGTATTTTTTTTATTGAACATTCAAATTTTAATAATATTTGCTATAGATTAAATGATGATTTGTCAATGTTGCGTTTTATTTTAGTC